TGGAAAGTGGAACCTGTGGTCTCTGAATCATTTTCAAAATGGCCCAAATTTAGAAGCTGAAAATAGATCCCATCTGATGACTCTTGTTTGATGTGAAATTTCAGGCAAGTTCCTGTAGGAATAACAAGGGGCCTGGATAACTTTTCAGGCCAAAATGAAGATACCTAGTGATTCTAGCCTAAGAGTGGTCAGTTGTGATTGATTCTGGTGACTCTAGGCAGCTATATTCCATCTAATCCCTTTTAGGTGCCTAAAAACCTATTGGGATCTGGCCCAACTGCTTTACTTCTAGTGATCACACAAAAACCAACCAGGTCAGGAAGAGAACCTAGAAATCTTCCCCCCAACACAATGAGTTTTTTCATTGTAGGAATTGTATCCCCAGAAATAAAAGATGAAGTCTTTGCCCTATGAAAATTAGGAGAATTGAGTGGAAATTGAAAGTGCTGCATATGCATTTAGTATGCAGCATATAAACTGGGTCCCATGAATGCCTGTTTGCACTTGAAAGTGCGGTGCCCATACTAATCATAGTACTACCACTGAAGTCTTGCCATCACAAGTATAGTAGAATAATTATGTCTCATGGACATGTCTTGCCTGATCCTTTTCTTGATTTTGCTTAGAGTGACATTTGGGTTTTTTGCAATGAAAGCATCATATTTTTGCCTCTACAATAGCTTGCAGCCTACTCTAACCTCTATATTTTTTCCTTTAGGACTGCTGCTTAGTCAGTTATACCTAAGTTTATATTTATGCATTTGATTTTTGCTTCCTATGTGGAGTACTTTATTGATTTTTATTGTATTGATTTCAAACCATTTCTACAATCTTTTAAGATGATGTTGAATTCTAATCCTGCCCTCTGAAGTGCATGCATTCCTTCCCAACTTGGTGTCATCCACATTTTTTATAAGTATATCTCTCTTCCATCAGCCAAGTTGTTTATGAAAATATTGAATTGTATTAGACCAGGGACAGTCCTTTGCAAAATCCCATTTAATACAACCAATTTGACAGAAAATACTGGTAACTACCATTTAAGTATAGTTTTCTTTCAGTTGTATATCCATGTTATAGTAATTTAATCTAAGCTATTTTTCTTCAGTTTGGTTATAACAATGTCATGTGAAACATTGTGAAAAACCTTATGGAAGTTGAGATTAGTCAAATTCACTGCTTCCCCCATTCACTAAGCCAGTACCCTAATGAAGAAATTAGAAATTATTTGTTATTAAAAAACCCATATTGCCTGTTTGTTGTCACCTTATTTTAATGTAGGTGTTTACAAATGTGTTGCTTAAGAGTTAGCTCCAGTATCTTCCTTAATTTAGAATGTATGCTGACCAGTCTATAATTCCCAGGTCTCCGCCCTCTCTTCCTCCTTTTTCTTTGTTAAAGTAGATGTAATGTTTGCCCTTCTCTGAGCCTAGTTCTCTAGGATCTCTGCTGTACTCCTTTTAGTTCTTGAAAATAATCCCCAGTGGTTCAGAGATGGTTTGGGCTAGTTTTAGGTACTCCAGAAAAGATTGTATCAAACCTGGCTGATCTGAATCTATCCAACACATCTAAATATCCATTGACAACCTATTTGGAGCCTAGGCACTCCACAGGCCAGAAGTATTCAACACTTCTGTATCTGTCTCATGTGACTGCCTTAATATGGTGCTGCAGGGAAGCTAATTAGCTTTCTTGAGAACAAAGATAAATAGCCCAGGAGCAAGTCAGCAAGAACACAAGTATACTGCTTCTAAATCAGGAGGTGGGCCAGGAATATTACCTAAACCAGAAATGGTGCAATCATGGTCTCCAGTACCAAGCAGTATCGTGCTTTATCTGCTGATGCAGCAGAAAGCTTCTTTTTGCTCTGGGGAAGTTTGTTGAAGTCAGCCAACTGAAGCCCAGTTTTCTGAATCTGTGACAAAAGTTCTGTTTTAGGGACTCTGGATAACAGCATAGTTGGTCACTATCTGTTACCTGTTCTTTCCTTTTTTCCCTCTGTGTCCCCATCCCTCCTTCTAATAATATTGTGTTGACTCTGTGCATAAATAATCTTTTTTGTGAATTCTGAAGCAAAAAAAAAAATCATGCATTTCAGGCTTTTCTGTATCACCTTTTATTTGTTAACCTTACCCATTACTTTACCTTTTCTTTCTCTTGTATCTCATTTTGGTTTTTAATAAGGTCTAACAAACAGTCGGTGAGAAGACAGTAGAAGATATCTTCTAAATTTATATGTAGAGTCCTCTTTGCATTCACAGACATTAAATGTTCAGTAAAATTAGCATTCCCCTGCAGGAGCAGGGCAAGGGTGATCTATTAGTTATTATGGGGAAAAACAACCATTTGTTGCAAATTATTCACTGAGATGAAAAAAGCAGGAAAAAATGGTAATTGCAGTCAGACAGTAGTACTTCTGAATGCACCTGTAAAGAAGTGTCAGAAATAATAAGTGTTTTTTAGTTTTATAAATGAAGTTGGAAAGAAATAGTTTAAGTTATGGTTTATGTCTTCCAACTGCTGGAATGTCTGAAAAGCATTGGAAGAAAAGAAAAATGGACATCCTACTAGTTTGGGTCACTTTCATTTATAGAAATTACTCCTGGAAGGAAGTGCAGCACAATAAGGGCAATAGAAGTAGTGCCCCCATGTAACTCTCTACTACATTTTTCTATGGATAAGACTAGTACAACACTACGAAGGTTAAGCAACAGCAATTTCAGCCACCATCCAATCCTACATTGCTATGATAAATCCAGAGCAAGGAGTTGCTGGAAGAAGGACACATAGGACATTCTTAGGGGAGACTGGGGAGAGGAGTAAAAGAAAAAGAATGTGTTACAGGAAGAAGGATTAAGCCAGGCAAAAATAGTACAGGTTCCCAATCAACTGCAGATAAATAAATTCTAGTCTTGAAAGATACAGTAGTATTGGACCATTAGAAGGAATATTATAAAAGCTAGTGGTAAGATCTGTTGTATGGACCAGTCTTTAATTATAACTAAATTGATATATTCAAGGTATTTGTAATAAAAGCAGACACTGTGATAGTGCTGCATGCTGGCAAACATACAGAATGATATAGTGTCTTCCGGTGTATCTTGTTAATTAATATAAATTGGGAAGAAGGAGGTTCATGGGAGATTGCTGCCTAAAGAAGTTTGTGAGATGAAAAAGGATATTATTGTCAGATGACTCCAATCAAGCAAACTGAACTTCTGAGTAACACAGAATTTACAGAAAACATTAGATAAAATTACCCTAATTTTTCAGAAAGCCAAATGCTTGTCACTGCAGTAATTGAAATTATGGCCTGGTGTTGCCTGCTGTGCTGTATGGGTCACAGTACATATTCATGTTGTACATCATGTAGCTGGCTATTGTGGCCAAATACCATTTTTATGTATATTTTGGAGCATGCATTATTTTGCAGAATGATACTACACTAGCTGTGCATATGCAAGACGGGCCATTTCCAAATGATGGGAAACATTTTTTTCAAACCTACTAAGATGTGAACAAGAAGAGAAGTACATACATTTTATGCCAGTGTTGCAAATCACTACTTGCTATTATTTCTAAGATTATGTATATTGTATATTAAATATGAACCACCAAATCCAAGACCTCACTTCCCACAGAATTCAGAAGTGAGGTTTTGGCCTCATTTCATCTTGAGTTTTTCAGACTGATGTTTTGCCTCTGAGTTTAATGAAGAATGCACTGTATTTAGCTTTTCAATGCTGTGAATAAATACATTTGGCTCAAGGGGTTAAATAACAATTCACTGGTTTACAGCTGGTATGCAAATCCAAGTGTATAAAAAAAACTAACCCAAACATTTGGGAAAATAGGGACTGCCATACTGGATCAGGCTTTATGGACCATCTAATCCAAAAAAATCCCCTTCTCTTGTTTTATAATATTTGGAGAAGTTACTAGCTGACCTTCTGTGCATACCATTCATTTCATATACTTCTAGCATACCCTCTTTTATTCATCTCATCTCTAAGGTAAACAGATTAAATCTTTTTATATGAGAGCTTTCTCATGCCTCAAATATTCTGTATATCCTCCTTTAAACCTTCAACAACTCTGCAATATCCTTTCTGGTGATGGAATAACCAATACCATACTCAGTATTCCAGATGAGGATCTATAAGGAGTTAAAACATATTATTCATATATTTTCCATTCTGTTACTTCTGCTCAATCCTCAGACGGATTTTTTTTCTTTATTTTGGCAAATTCCAGTTTGTGCTTTTCTTTTGTTTAACTGGACTCTTTATTTTTCAGTTATGCTTGCAATTAGCAGCAGACTGATCCTGAGATTGTTTTCAGGGTAGCTCGCATAATGTCTAAGCACAATGAATATTCCAGTTGTCATTCTCAGCACAGTGGGAATGGAAACTGGTCACTTGAGCACATTGCAGAAGTGTGGCAGGGGAGAGCTTTCTCTGTTACCTTCCTAAACCTTAGTTGTCCTCTGGATAGAAAGGGACCTCAGTTTTCAGTACAGTCTTTTGATTATCCTTCATTTTGCTAGTTGTTAAATGCCCTAATGCAGAGGGACCCAGTCCTGCTGTCACTACTGTTGATAGGATTTTTTGTCCTTGATTTCAATTAGAGCAGAATCAGGCCCATAATACTTTTCAGAAACATCTCACTGTGTTCTGAGAAAGTCCAGCAGAAACAAAGGTAATTTGAGTACCAATTAATTTTACTGCTACCAAATCACCCTCTTGGTAATTAGGTAATTAACTAGTTTAATCACAATAAATATATATCTTACCTTCCCCTTCCCTGTCTCCCCTGGAGTCCACACTGTAAAAGTAATGTAAGATTACAATGAATAGGTATAGTCATATTTCCTCACATAAAGGAATAAGGAGGAGGGGGTGTCCAGGTCATGGCAGAAAGAGTTTAAAGACAAAATTAACTTGGATAATTTATAGAGAGATCAACAATTGCTTTGTAACATTTTATTCTACATCTGACAGGAGGAACAAGTGCTGTGGGAGACTCATACATCAACTAACAAGGAATGGGTCAGAGCTGATGTGCGGGTACCAGCAGATCTGAAAAAAACAAAGGTATGCATGAAAAAGGCATGAGCGGGTTGTTTGAAAATATATAACCTTAATGATTTTTATAAGGCTTTGTAGGAAATGTAGGTACTTACTGAAGCCATGTTTATTATGAATGACTCTCTGCTTTTTAATTGATTGTTGCACTTAAGGATAGTGCCTCAAAAACAGTCTAACTATTCATACCTTGCAGCCTCCAGCTTTATTTACCAGAAAAGCTATATCCCCATACATTAGTCACCTTGGACATGGCTCTCCTCTGACATACTGCATAGCTAACTTTAACATAAGGGTAACTTGGTGGAATGATATGAATTATGTATGTGACTTTAGTGGAATGATATATATTGGCATCAGTGACAGGAGATAGTGTTTTTGAGTCTTTTGCTACAAAGGAGAATTTCTCAGTCATTAGTTTTTAATTGAATTATTTCATCTCTCTTCATGAAATTTGATGTACAAATATTTGTTTTCTGGCAGTTTTGTACATAAGGTAAATTTGTGTGCTTTGTCAATTAAAAACAAACAACACAACCAAAGCTGAGGAGAGAGAGACTTGGACCAATATAGAATTTGAAAGTTCTTTTGCTGAATTAAAACGAATAAATTCTAATGATTAATTACATGGATATACCACATGAATTGTATGGAAATAAACAACTGTAACATAGCAAAGCTGGTATAAGGATGAATGAAGACTGTGATGTGAGTCTTATTCTCTATAGCATTTGCTCACCTTTCCCCCAGACAAACAAACAAACAAACAAAAACCCTGCAAATGTTGAGCTTTCCTCAAAAGTTTGGAAATCTCAGAATTTCTTGTGTAACCATAACCTGGTTAGTTTTTGCTCATGGGGTGATTAATCTTTTAATTGATTACACATTATTTCAGCATAGGCCTCTACCACTTCAACTAATGGAGTAGCAGGTTTCATTTTGCATGTCCACCTCTTGCTAATGGAAGAGGAGGACACATTTCATAGCTATTTATTAAATAGTAAAGGACAGCTGAGGTTCAATCCTTAGCCCAATTCCATGTTCTCAGGGGTTAGGGACAGAAATTACACATAAACCAGTAAAAATGATTGGAAACTGGTTCAGATCTAATATATATGACTTTAATGGACTGATATATGTGACTGTGTTCTAGAATTCAGCACCAGGGTGGCCTATAGGGCCACAAAAGTTTTGTTTAAGTCCTGGGATAGAATATGCTCTGCCTTTTTAACAAGCAGATGTTGGGAGGGGATGAATCATGCAGCATTGACAGACTCTTCAGGGAACAGAGATGCCAAAATCTGACATGCCTGTCTGTACAGTGAGCTGGGAATTTTTTGTTTGGTTTTGTTTTGTTTTGTTTTCTTGGGGACGGGGTTGGGATTTGGGTTAGTTTTTTTTAAGGTTTATAACTTTGGCAGATTAGGCCAAAATTTCACTGGGAAAGTAAAATGCATATCCCCTTTACCTGCATGACCCTCAAACTATATTTTAAATCCTTTCTCAAAATCAGGGTGGCACTGTAGCTTCAAAGTAAAGTAAATATATTTTTTACACAGGCAAAACCCCATATTTTTTCTTACCTTCATTCAGAAACATGTTGGCTGAAATGTTCAGATCAGTCAGCCTAAGCACAGGATTTTCCAGACAAAACAGTTTGTTTAGCAAAGTTCTAAGCAGATGAAAGTAGGATCTTATAATAGAAACCTACCTAGTTACTTGTGAAATAGCTTTTTAACATTTTATGAAAAAAAAACACATTTTTCTTTTTCAGTTAGTTGGTTTATGCTAATATTTTAGAATAACAATTCTCACAGCTTGCATTTATAGGAACTATCCAGAGCAGGACAGGTTATATCTGTGTGGATAACCTCCAGTTCTCAGACTCTGCAAGGCCACAGTCACCAGGGCTCTGCTCTTCAGGGAAGTTCATCTGTGCTAACGGCCAATGTCTTGCCAGTGAATCAGCCTGTGATTATCATTTGGACTGCTCTGATGGAAGCGATGAAGATCCAACAGTTTGTTGTAAGTGAACTGAATTGATTTACTAAAATATACTGTCCAGAGAACCGGTTTAAAGAATATTTGGTAATAAGAAAATTATTGATAATAATAGCCCCTTTATTTATATGGTATCTTTTATCAGAAAGACTTAGTCTAGAGCAGGGATGCTCCACCCACAGCCTGCAGGCCAGATCTGATCCCTGGAGCTGTGTCATCTCCCCGTGGGTTCCTCATGGATCTTGTGAGAAGCCCCATGGGCCATGGCTCCACTCACTAGATTGTACATGCAGGGCAGCATGGGGCCTGATCTGGAGCCCAATCCCGACTGGGTGGAGATGGCATGGAGCACTGGAGCCCTATTCCAGTGCATGAGGACAGTGCAGGACTTGATTTGGCTTGCAGACCAGCCCCACACTATTCATCTGGCCTGCAAGGCCAAAAGTGCGTGTACCACTGGTTTACAGAATTTTGCAAAAAAACCCACAATGTTTATAGCACATTACGTCATAATGTACTCTTTTTCCCCACTCCTTTCTTCTTGTGTTTTATCCAGTCCCTATGGCAGGAGTCAGATCTGGATAATAAATCCTAAAAAGTCTGACAGTCCACAGAGATTTGTATGATATTTTTGTTCCAGATAAATCCTTTCACTTCTCTCTGTCTCTCTCTCTCTTTTTCCTGTTTTTCTTAACTTTTGGAGGATTTGAAAATGTAGTCTAGATTTTGCTTTTTTAAAAATTTTCTCCTATTTAGTTTGTGTGTGAAAAAAATAGAGAATATTAGGTATGTATAATATGTATGTGGTGATATAATATTTTCATCATGTAACTTTGCTTATAAGCTGCCTTTGATTAGAACTGTTTTCGTTCATGAGCAGTAACTTGGCCATAACCTTTTTACTCGAAGTTTACTCAGTTTAGTCGCCACACATTCACCAAGCAAACCACAGAGGGAAATAATTAAGTTTAATGGAAAATGTTCATAATATTTATGAGCCACCAAAGGGTGAATGTGTTCATTTACAAACTAATCTAGTCCACTTAGAGAAAACAGCGTGAGTTAGTTTAAATCTGCCTTGGGATTTCTGAATGTCTGTACCTAGTGTCAGAGTCTCAGGAAGTATGCAAACTAGAGAAGGCTATATTGTCACAAACCCATTCACGGGGGATTCCCTGAACCCCGAGTTTCTTCCCACTATGCTGCCACTCAACCCAAAGAACAGACAGAGGTTACCTGTGAGAGTTTCCTATCCCAGAATCTCAGTTTCTCTGTCCTTTAACTGGACTCTGCAGCTGCAGTGAGAGATCCCCACTGGCCCAAATGACAACTCACATTTGAGTTATGAAAGAAGAAATTATAGGTTCCCCTCTCTGTGGAGAGAGTTAGCCTGGAATATCATCTGCCCAAAAATCACTCCTTTCACAGGCAACCAGTAAGGAGACAGACACCAAAATTATTTATTTTGAAAACAGAACAAGCATAAGAAGCCAGAGAATCATAGAACGTTAGGGCTGGAAGGGACCTCAGGCGGTCATCCAGTCCAGCCCCCTGCTCAAAGCAGGACCAGCCCTAGCTAGATCATCCCAGCCAAGGCTTTGTCTTGTCAGGTCTTAAAAACTTCTTAGGATGTAGATTCCACAGCCTCTCTGGGTAACATATTCCAGTGTTTTACTACCATCTAAGTGAGAGAGTTTTTCTTGATATGTAACTTAAACTTCCCTTGCAGCAACTTGAAACTGTTGCTCCTTGTTCTTTCGTCGGCCATCACTGAGAACAATCTAGCTCCATCCTCTTTTGGAACTACCCTTCAGGTAGTTGAAGACTGCTTTTAAATCCCTTCTCAGTCTTCTCTTCTCTTGACTAAATAATCCCTGTTCCTTCTGCCTCACCTCATAAGTCAAGAAATAACTGTGCTGGGTAGAAGGAAAAATGAAAAGGAACAGTTCTTTTAAATAAAAAATAATTATTTTCAAAGCTAGGTCATTTGAAGTATCTATATAGTGTTGGATTCCTCATAGATCCCCTTCCAGTAAATGTAACTGAATTCTATCTTTAGGGCTCTCCATTTGACTGGTCTTCCTCTGCTTAGGAAATTAGTCTTTCTGACAGCTTCCATGATTGTGAAGACAAGAAGGCTAATGCACAAGCTATTCTTTCATCCACCCAAAACCTTCACTGTCAACTCAGCACATATTCAATGTAGTTGTAAAAATGCTCTCAACAATATTTTGAATGTATTACATTTGTTTCCATTAAATTTTACTTGAGAGAGTGATGCATATTTTAGCATCTATTTTTGTACATATTTCAGCATCTATTCTAGTACACATTTATCCTCAGTAGCTTCTTTTTGATGGAAAACTCTCATGGCACTGTACTGGTAATCCTCCCTGCAGAATAAATATAGAGACAAGCTGCTGTTACCTTGTGTTATGCAGGATATTTCCTGTTCTTTCAGGATTTTTTTTTGTAACAGTTGTTTCATAATAACAAAATGGAATAATGTTTCCCTTTATTTATGCTAACTTGACCAGAATTAATACTATAATACTATAAGGTTGTGTCTACACATGCATTTCACTAACTTACTGCTCAGTAAATTGTCACACTTACACATGTGCAGCAATTAGGTCAGCATTCACTGCACCCCTGGATAATCCCATCAGACACAAGTACTTTCCAACAATTCAGTAAATTACTGCACTTAAACGCACATGTAGAAAGTGACAGAGCTGTTTGGGGCATGAAGATGCTTCAGTGTGGGGCTAGCTGGCAGGTAGTCCCTGTGCATTAATTGCAGGTGTAGATGTGCTCCAAAATACAAGTTATTACCAGAACAAATGTGTAAATATTTCATTATAATTACATAGAACTTACAGTTAAGAGAAACGGCATTTCACATATCTAAAAATGAATTTTTTCTAAGCCAGGGGTTCTCAATCCCCAGTGCCAGGCCACAGCGCAGTCAGCTGCCAGACTGGAAGTGGCCACGGACTGGCAAACCTTGGCCCCCCCAGAGCCAGATGGAGAGGCCACGGCTCCTTCCGCAGGGTCCACAGCAGTGCAGAGTTTGCTCCCCCTCCCCGTGCCTCACCTGGGGTGTGGGGATATCCTTACTTGTCTTCTAGCCAGAAATTCTGGCCATGGTAGGCTATGACTACTAGGCTGCAGTTTGCTGGGACATGGCCACTTCTGGGCCGTGGCATAAAACTGTTGGGGACCCATGTTCTAAGCAATTCTCAGAGATTAAGGGCCTGATCTTGAAATCATTACTAAGGTAGTTGTTTGCAGGATCAAGTTTTACATTTTTTTAAAATTTTCTGCTTGCAAAGTTGCTTTTAAGAACATTCCTAAATTCTACAGTTCACAATGGACACCATTAACCCAATGGATCCCAGTAAATCTGTTCTTAAATAGAAAATATTTGTGTAGTGCTTAGAAGACTAACATAAAAGATAGGCAAATTTCTGATGGTATCTTTTTTTTTCATCATTTAATATCAAATTTTGTGCTAAATGCAGTTTCAAGCTAATGAAAACCAATTTTCTTGTATTGAGTTTGGGTACCATTTTAATTTAGACTGTAGTGATATTGTTTGTTGCAAACAACATAATTAAATCAGTCAGCATTCCTACTCTTTTGCATAAAGGTTGTGTAGTATCTGTTGTCTTCACCAATAGTCAATAGTAGGATATTACTTCCTGCACCCATTGGGCTTCGATCATCCGGTTGCGTGCTGCCCGGCTTTGGGTGTGTAGGGCTGTCTGTTGCTCCGTCCCTGTGATCTTATTGCATGGATGTCCTGCCCCGGGGTAGCCTCTTCCCCAATCTCCCCTGCCACAACTTTGTTTGTTCCTTCAGTGGTAGAGTCCGACTACTGGGGCTTGCACGCATCTGGGATCTCTAGACGGCAGACTTCTGTGAGGCCTTTCCAAACCCACGCTGATCCCACCTGGCTCAACGCCTCAAGTTCCATCACTCTCCCCTCTTCTTTGGGACAATCTCTGTTGTCACCTTCTTCCTCCTGATTCCTTGGATCCTCTCCCTCGAATCCTTTGTCTGGGTGAGATGCATCCACCTCCTCCCTCTCTGTGCCGATGCTGGTGTCCTCCCTACGATGGGCTTCGAGGCAGACTTCTGCCCCGTGAGAAGCAGTCCTGCCTCCTCTTACCCCTAATTGGGGTTCCAGGGATACCTTCCCTGTTGACTCTCCTTCTGGTCTTCCTCCTCCCGCTCCTTTGCCCGCACCACCTCTTATGCTCCCATGCCAGCTCCTCCCACTTCTCTCCACAGCTGGCCGCAGTTTTAAAAGACGCGGTTAACAAGCTGCGTGGGTCCTGCCGCTACTTCTGGTTTCGCTGCAGCGCCAGCTGTAGGTAAGGATTCTCCGTTTTTTTTCTGTCTCTCCTTGCCTTCCCTGTTATGTTCTGGCCCCCGGGGTTCTCCCTTGGGCCCTCAGGGTCTGTCCCCTGTATCCTCCCTGTGACACTTCAATGCTGTAATGCCTGCTCTTATCCACCAGTCAGATCTGAAGTATTGTGGCTTTGTACCTTTTGGGGTATGACTTTCTGTATCTGTGTTTTAAAGCTAGCAGTGTTATCTACTGCTTGGGAAGTTTCATAAGAAACCTTTTAAAGTCACCCATTTTATGGATAATCTTAACTCTTCTTAATTTACCTATTCAATTTCTAGTAATACCTTAGATATTTTTAGGCTTAGGAAAGGTATAAATTATTTATGAAAAGTAAATGTCCTGAAAAAGAAAATAATTTAGATAATTTTAAAAATATGCACATCTTGTTGTTGTATGATGTCAAGTAGTATTTGCAAGTCCTTGAAAAATGTTATGCATTTACATTAATTTGCAAGCTAGCATCTGTACATCAAGTCTTATTTAGAAGAATAAATAACAGTCAAGATTATTTTTATGGATTTGTTCATTGCTGATTAATACAATATAGTACAAAGTATGTCTCAATAATTCAGTTCAGTCAGTGTAGGGTTTGTTTGCTTTAAAAAAG